TACAAATATGAGGGGATAAGAACCAATTCAGTCTTTTTTTCTGAAGCAAGTCCAAAGTTTTGATTTTTTGGAGAACCACTTCCCAACAAAAAGCCCTCACCTTTGGAGGTACAAGAGCACTCCACACTTCTTTTATAGGAAAAGAGTAAACTAAATTGGAAGAGTGCACTAAAGCATTGAAGAAAGAAGAGCATGAAAAACATTCTATTATCAGGACAAGAATGATTCAGAAACACTGAATTTAAAAGGGAGAAAAGATCATCTGCCAACCCTATTTCTGACTCCCTCAACCCTCTACTGAACCCTAAATCCCACGCCTCATTAGAAACACGAAAGGTAGAGATGATTTTAAATTTGTTCAAGGACAAGGAGTAGAGGGCCAGGTACCTATCCTTAAGAGGCTGGTCCCCAACCCAAATGTCCTCCCAAAAAAGGACCTTATTACCCGGATAAGCGTCATACCTAATGAAAGGAGAAAAGGCAGGCAAGATACCAACAATGTCTTTCCACGGAGAGGAACGAGAAGCCCTTAGGTTGATACTAGCATCCCATCCATTTTCTGCCAATCCATGTATGCTTTCTATCACTCTATGCCACAAACTTTCTTGCTCCTTGGGAAATCTCCACAACCACTTACCTAAGAGTGCTATGTTTCTTAGACGAATATTTCCAATCCCTAAATCCCCTTTGTCTTTTGTCCTAGAGACCATTTCCCACTTCACTAGGTGATCCTTTTTTGATTCCCCAGGTTCCCAGAGGAAATCTCTCATTACTTTTTCCAACTGATTTGCCACCTTGGTAGGCACTTTGAAGGTAGACAGGAAGTACATTGGCAAATTTACTAAAGTTGACTTAATTAAAGTGATTCTACCTCCTAAAGAGATGTAATTCCTCTTCCACTCTGCTAGTTTCCTCCTTTGAGTTTCTATTTTCATTGAAGATTCTTTGATTTCTTTCCTTAGTTGAGAGCATATGTTGATACTGATTGGGTTGGTTGTTCAGACACCTGTTGTTCTACTACTGGATGGTGTGTTTGTATAGATGATTCTCTTATCTCTTGGAAATGCAAGAATCAACAGACTGTCTCCAAGTCCTCCACTAAAGCAAAGTATAGGACAATGTCTTCTGTGTGCAGTGAGATAGTCTAGCTACAATCACTATTTATGGATCTTGGCATTCAAATTCCTACACCCACTCCTCTTCATGTGGATAATACTAGTGCTATCAAGATTGCATCAAATCCTGTATTTCATGAGATGACTGAACATATTGAGGCAGACTGTCATTTTATCTGAGACATGTTTCTTGTTGGATCTATCTCCCTTCCTCATGTTGCCTTCAATATGTAGATTGCTGACATCTTCACGAAGACTATGACTAGATCCTGTCATCTTTTCCTTGTAGGCAAACTGATGCTTATGTCCACACATTAGTTTGAGAGGGATGTGAAGAGACTTGACATATTCTATTAAGATAGCCTTGTTGTATATTGTACATGTGTTTTATCCAGGGGTGTGCATTTGGTTTATTCAGTTATCGAATAAACCAAAATTTTAAAAATCAAATAAAAAAAATGAAAATTGAACTGAAACCGAATTATAGAAAAACCAAAATAACTGACATTGAAAATTTTGGTTCGATTTTCGGTTATTTCAGTTGAAACCAAATTTCAATAATATATATACTATACATTATAACATATATAATATATATTATAACAAATTATGAAATTAAATTTCATTATATTTATATTAATATAGAAATATATCATATATTATATATTATATGTTATATGTTATATGTTATATGTTATATGTTATATGTTATATGTTATATGTTATATTTGGTTAATTTGGTTTTTTTCGGTTAATCGAATTTCTAATTCTAAAAACCAAAACTGAAACCGGAATATTCAAAAACTGAAATAACCGAATCAAAGTAACCAAAACTCAAAAATTGAACCGAAATTGAGATTTCCAGTTCGGTATTTTGGTTTTAACCGAATAATGCTCACCCCTAGCTTTATCTAGCTTTATTTCTTTCAGCCCTGTAAGGGCACTTTTGTAATTGTACATAAAATATAATCCTTAATATATTAGAGGCCTTTTGACACCCCTGAACCTGTTATCTCTTCTGTTTGAACTAGGCGTTGGCAACATTGAATAAAAAAAAAAAATCAACTTGCCAAGTTAGGGCGTCTATGCAAGGCAGCATGATAGAAAAGTTTTTTTATGCTATTATGGTATGTTGATGGTTTTCTATTGAAAGGTTTAGACCATATTATTTGCTCATTGTAAACAGCTATACGTTTTTGCATTTGTGCAACATTGGTTTACTATTGATTCTTTATTTCACTTGATTTGTACACAGCTATATGAGGATGACATATGCCTGTGCATTTTGGATTTAAATCCACTCATTCATGGGTAATGTACTTCTTCCTAAGATGCAATTCCAATATCTGTCCTTCTGGCAAGATGGATTATCTTTAATTCACTTAAGGTAGGACTTTTATTGTCTAGGAAATTCCATTGTTCATTTAAATATGCCATATCAGTCACTGCTAGATGCTCGTTGAAGTATTTTTATTCTGTAATAGAAATATTTTGTTGATAGGGAGAAATGGGGGGGGGGTGCAATCATGAAAATCCGAAAGAATTTCAAAGGGAAAACCAAAAATTAGTAGAGCTGGACAATAGAAGTTAGTCCCATTTATTATTTTTAGCCTGTTTGGTGGAGTCATATGACCAGGTATACAAGGATAATTTTACTACCATGTGTGGTTGCATATGTAAGTGAAATAGAGTCTGATGCCTCATACTTTTTTAGCTTTCTCCAAATTCTTCTCTTCTTCCTTTCTCTCTTTTATTTTCTTTTAAATCTGAATCTAAACACTTAAGGAAATAAAAAAAGTATGCAAAAAAAATTCAACACCATCATGACATCAATTATAGATGTTATGAAGAAGGGGAATTTACATGGTCTCACAGTTCTTTGAGGTGTTGGGAATGGAGGTGTTCAAATGGAAGAGGATTATCTCATTGCTTTTCATACTTCATAGCAAAAATATAATGAATCCAGGAGAAGTTCTCTACTTACGATAATGAATTTTATTGCATAGTTTGATGCATACAATATTGGCATCACTGCTTAGTTTCTCAGGAATGGGCTTGGTTCTTGGGAAAATATCACTTTGTCATTAGACATATGTCAGGAGCAGAGAATATAATAGCTGATGCAAGCCAAGTGGTGTATATTTTGAGTTCTATGTTTGTGCAGGTTGTGGGCTTTGATAACTTGAAGTCTATATATTGGTGCAATGATGTTAGCATTATTCATGCCACTATACAAGATGGTCACAATCTCAATATCATAGTTTTTCCATCCATGATGGTTATTTGTGTCTTCTACATATGTCCTACATGATTATGTTATATGGGAGTTACATGGAGGAGTTGTAGCACATTCTAATAGGAACAAGACCATAGCTATGGTAATGGGTCACTTTTGTTGGCCTAGTCTTAAGGCTGATGTTGATTGTATGGTTAAACAACTTAGTGTTTGTCAATTGGGTAGAGGTAGAAAAAAGAGCATAAGGTTAGATACTCCTTTGCTGGGTCCCTTTTAGATTTGGCAAGACATTTCCATGAATTTTGTCCTAGGCCTTCCCAAGACAGCAAGAAGGCATCATTCTATTTATGTTGTGTATTGATAAAACTTAGGAGTAGCTCCAATAACTGATAAAATGAGGGAAAGTAAACTAAGATGGTTTGGACATGTGCAGAGAAGAGAATTTACAGCACTAGTATGAGGAAGTGATCTATTACATGTGAAAGGGGTCAGGTGCTCTAAAAGGAGAGACAAAGTGATGGGAGCACTAGAGCAGCAGTGGCTTGGATAATCTGGGACTAAAGAATCTGAGGATATTTGATGATAAGGAAAGAGGTAGAGATGCTGTGGTTGAAGTGATAGCTATAAGGGTGGCACATTGGGTGAAAACTTTGAAAATATTTGCAGATTTTAAGACAGGATTTCTTCATATCATGGGGAACAACTGCTAACATTGCTTCTAGAAGACCTATTGTAACTGAATTTTGGTCCCCTCCGGATGTTGGGTGGAAGAAACTAAACTTTGATGGTAGCTGTTTGGGAAACCCTGGCCATCGGGCATTGGTGGGGTAATAAGGGAGGAGAATGGAAATATCATTGCCATGTTCTCAGGCCCTATCCAGCATGGTGATGTGGTGAATTCAGAACTGAAGGCAGCGGTATTTGGTGTTGAGAAAGCTAAAGAGTTGGGGATTAACAGGTTGATTATTGAAGGGGACTCAAAAGTTGTTGTAAACTGGCTGAAAAAAGAGGAAGGAGCAATCTGGAGATTAAGAAATGAGTTCAGGTGCTTTAAGCAGGCTTCTAAAGATATGGAAATTCACATAAGATGGATTAGAAGATCAACTAATAGCATAGCTGATGATCTAGCTAA